GAATGCGCGACTCATCCTTTTGAAGTGTTTGAGCAAAAGCAGAAGCAGTTTAACTCTATGTTTTGCAAAAATATGTAGTTTCGGTAACATATTCAAGGAAGTTAGGAGGTTTTGCAGTTTCACCACTGTTATGAATTTTTAAGGGTTTACACCAAAGGGCTGATCTGAACGATGAGGTTCTGGATGTCACCAGTAGCGAAGACGGCAGTTCCAGTGACGAAGGTGAGTTTCATATTACCGGGGCTTCTACAACATATTCGGTCGACGAATTTAATCCAGTCAGCGGTAAAGTTTCTTCTATTCTCCACTTTTTGTAGCTGCTGGCTCCAGGGCAAGTAAGATAGGGATCCCCTATGAGGGGGTCGTGGTTGGCCGCTGGAGCGAGGGGGGTTCGCATTTCTCTTCAAGGGAGTGTTTTCGGTAGCTGACTTTCCTCAGTTATTCCCGTTGTACGTGCACTGTATACAGCCCCACACCACCCTAGTAGGTAGGTTGGAGGAAGGGAAGGGGTTCTGTAAGGAAGGAAGTTTTAGGGGGTCGTATTTAGCAAAGTTTTTCCCTAACGGCCGGATGAGCCCTGAAAAGAGAACAGGTGCGGGTAATCCGCGAATATTATTTGGAAACAAAAACATCGACCAAGTGAGATAAAGAGGCCCATGTACCGGTACCATGCACCGCGGTAGTTGTTCCATCAAACGGCCGTCATCTCTTACTGTTGACATGTCTTGTCACCGCCTGACCCGATGACATAACTAGAGGGCGCAGCTTTCGACGAACCTGCGTAAGAAGAGGAGAGATTTGCAAGGCAATCTTTTTTCAAAATTCAAGCTTGAATCGTCGCAAACATTATTTTTCTTATACTGCAGACATTTTCTGAGAGTCGAACGAACACCATGCAGTTAAAAATCTGTCGCTATCAAATTCTTTGGTTGTAAGGCTTCAAAGTGTACACCGTGGATGTACATTTCCTAAAACCCTCATATCTTAGAAGGTTTGTGTTGTTCTTTTAAGGGTAACTGAGTTCGATAAGTGGAGCCACGGCCTTGGCCTTCCCCAAGCTCAGGCTTAGCACAAGGAGACGATCAGAGTTGGCGCAGTATATTTTCGCAGCGCATAGTCCCGCGTGACACTCCCCTTCTTTATTTGTCTTGTGATTAAGCTTCTTCAGAAAGCGAGACGCTAATCGACGACTGGCAGCCCACTGAAAAGTTTCTATGTTATCAATGTTGAGAGTATGATTGTTGTGCTTTACACTATATCTCCTCATTCATTGCTATAGGTTCCGTTTTACTCTGAATTCCTTGTCTCAAACTGAGTGGCTAGAACTGCCCTCAATTGTGCTCCTCCGCCCGTCAATACTGTGTGCCAGCCACTACGGGTTCGAGATGCAGAGTTTACCGAACGGTCTGATGCCCCAAAAATCCAGACGATTTCCTGCATACATTGCGCAACACCACCTCCCCGCGACAATCGGAACTTGGGACAATCGAGCTCGGAAGACGTGGAGGAGCAAGCGACTAGATGGTCGATCTTCCCATAGTTCTCACGGACTTTGCCGTCGAGGTTTGCAGATCGATGTGTCTTACGCTTTGTTCTGCTCGACTATTCCCCGCTGAGCTCCCACGTGTTCCCCGGATTCTCCATTTCTGCACAAAAAGCTCGTGGCGTAAGCACACGAATCTATATCTACGATCTTTTCTTGAGTTTCATTATCTACGCCCCTGATTCTCCCCGCTTATGAACTGTTACGTATAACATTCTTTTTACTTATTCTTCAGTGTTCAAACTGACGCTGCATATCCGTAAACGGTCATAATGTAAGCTCCGCATATTGCACAGTATTTTCCCTAACTTTCGGATGATATTCTGTGAGATTACTAGAAACAGTTACTCTTTAAACATTGATGAGCTGCATGGAATGAACGTTGAGCTGAGCTTATAGACTATGAACTTTATAGACTATAATCTGCTCCCCAATACTATTTATCTCTGGTCATCTCCCCCTATTTTTGGGATTCTTACCTCCATAATGTTCCGAAGTTACTTCAGTGATGTCAATATGCCATCTAGTACTGCTTAGCATGATTTCATTATAATTAGAGCACTTGGCTTAGCCTAATGTTTATTTTAATCTATATGGTTGTATGTGATGTAGTTCTAAACATGACGATACATAAGAGTAGATTAAGATCAAGTAGATGTTTGCTGTAGAGAAAAGAAACCTTTTTGCAATTGTGAAGAAAATATCTATCCTTCTTGGTATCAATTTGCATTTTTTTTTCTCTCTCAATTAGAATTTTCGAGAATCAATTCTTCAGCAGCTACTTTATGAAGAGAAACACTATAGTAATTAAAATTAGATTATATGCAGTGTCTTAAGGTAGTTTTTTTTTCTTTGCGTATTCTTTTTGCTTTGATGTTTACTGTTTTACTTGGCAAATGAAGTGAATATTTGTACTAAGAATTCTGATCAATCTCACTATGATGGGAAAAATTCACATCGTTGAAGGCAAACCTCTCTGCATTACCAGGAGCGCCTGTTTCCCCCTCACGAAAGGGGCTTAGCCATGACAGATTGTGCAGCCTCGAAGGAAATTAACTTCACATTGTTTTTTACGACCATTTTTCCCAAATGAGATACGGATGTGCTTCCAATCGGAATTGGCCGTATGAAGGGTGTGCAGTGTGTAAATCATTTTTTCTGAACACCTTCAGCCAGCGAACATCGTTGTTGTGCAATCGCACCAGGGAATCGTGTTTGGTCCCTCTACTGTAGGTCAGATCAAAACTATTACATATTTCTGAAAGGTGACCGGATGTGTCTACTTTCTGGTCGAAAGCTAAGTTTTGAGGAAATTTCGGTAAAACTGATGTAAGCTGTGAAAGGGCCTATACTGACTGAGTGAGAAAGCTGGGATCAACACACCACTTTGTAGTTACGTTCGTGAACTAAAAAATTCCGACCGAGTAGGGTGGAATTCTCGAAGTAATTGTCACGATTCAGTGTTCTGCGGCATCGCTTCTATCCAAATTCTGCGTGTAATAGAGTTTGACAGTAAATCATACTGTTTTCCTCAAGCACGGAAATTAATAGCGTGATTAGTGAAAGGAGCCCAGCCGCCAGTCGTTTTCGACCACGACAGCCCCACGCACTGCAGGTCCTTCTCCGATCCCATTCCCTCATCCATCAGTCACTTCCACTTACTCCTTCCCGGTTTCCAAGCTGCTATAAGAAGGAAATAAAAATGTGTGTTCTTGACCTCGCCCACTTCTGTGCAGGCTCCATCCACTGCGGGAGTCTCTCCCTCTTCATCTCCTCTTGGTGAATTCCACTTGTTTTTTCCCGCTTCGAGCTGATATGGGACCGAAATCTGTCAGATAATAGGTTGCGCAGGCTTACTGGTCCACTGTTTTAAATTCGTCTAACCTGGTACCCTTGTGCAGTATTGATACACTAAGGAGGGGTCTTTATTCTATAAGAACATTAAAAACAGTTACATAATTATGTGGAAAATGCCCCACTATCATATAGTCTTCCGCCAGTCTGCAGGTAGACCGTAGTTGCTTTTCTTCGAGAATGCGGCTGGCTGAGCCATGAAGAACGCCTCTGGTTCCTTTGCGATATCATCACGCCTTTTGAATCCTCTGCCATCCAGAAGGCGCTGAGGGTTGAAAACAGTAGGTAGTTCAGTGCGAGATGTGGAGTGTGAGATGGCTGGGAACGATGGTCCATCCTTTTTCATGGGGATGAGAAGTGGATACTCTAATGCGCACCGCCATTCCCAATGGGATGACGAAGCATCAGCATGAGGCAGAGGATGTGTCAAAAGCAATCTCTCGGGAAAAAGGTGAATTTGTATCTGCACGAACAACGAGGAGAGCTGACAGCAGGCGTTGTCGTGCTGGAAGTGAACATTGTTAGACTGCCAAGGGCCTTACTAGGCGCAGCCCCCTGCAGTCCAAGGCACATCCCCACATCTCTTCCGGCTTGCTGTGCCTTGCTGGCACTCCTCTCGACAACACTTCGCGGCCACCTGTGACGAGGATTACAGTGACATACAAATCCAACGGACCGCCATTGTTGACTTTCGCTGATCTGCACGGAATGAGATACACCATATCCCCTCGTACTTTCTTGACAGGCTGGTCTGTGACTGAACTGGATGTGTGCCCGAACACATCTTACGAGAGGACTAGTATAACATGTAGTGCGCCGTTGCTTTACTTTGTTGGAGACTTGATTCTTTTCCCAACATGTCTAAATTTCCAAACCCATTCTCTCAACACCATGAACAACCTAATCAAGATTCAAACAGTCCCAGCCTGGGAGACGTCTCAAGTTGTCCTACATTGACGACAAGGAGGTAAACGCACGGTACTCCACGCAATTTCTGACTGGGTGAATCGCACAAGCAGGTGTGGCAAGTTTTGTGTAGTCCAAGACAGTTGACCGATAAACCGTAATACGACAACCTTCAAAAACGCGCCGGCTCTATAATGAAAATCTCCAAGGGTGAAACAAACTCCTGATCTGCGGAGCCAGAATAATTATTTGCACCGAAATAGTAGACATTAGCAGCAACGTCAACAACGGTGACAACGTGAGCTGACCGTTAACGCATTCTTTTCTGAAAAAGGCGAGTTGCAATTGCCGTCTCCCATCCATCTGTCGCAATTCCACCCACCACCTATTTGCTGGAACTGCAAGAGGTAGGACTCTCAGAGCATATCCCCACTTTATCGAGTTCAACCAAAAATTATAAGTCCTCTCTAATCTCGTTTCTCACTATTTGAGCGCTACAGACTGCGTTTGTGCTTTGCCAATGAAAAATATGGAAAAACTATGTATTGCGAAAAACAGGCACAACGAACATGCAAAACACAACAACAGACTACCCTAGCATTATGATGAAAGCTAATAAAAGAACAAAATAGCGATATGATAATCAAACTGGTGCTGAACACAATTATTAAAATATTGTAAGCGAAGTTTTCATCTGTCAAACAACCGGAGCAAGCCGAGAGATGAATGCCACGGAATGATTAATCAGTGATCGTATCACTTGAGGACAGTTGGGAGATACTGCCACTTGATCCAAAGAATAGCGCATTTGCGCGAACGCTTGTCTGTAATACGTATGATTACGTCGGACCACTAGAAAATGTCAAATGCACATTTTATACGTTACCACACTTTTAATAAATGCAAAATTACCTTGTGCTTGGATTCCTTTGTGATGCGTACCGTAGCGTCAGGAAACGGTAGTAAACAAAAGGCACAAAGAGAGAGGCTTTGCCGCTAAAAAAAACGCTCAGTCACACTTCCGGATGACCAATAAAAAAATTCAACAAAAATTCGAAATTGTGCGGCTAATAAGAGGAATCCACAAGTGTATGAACCACCGACTGTGCGTCATAGAATTCAGATTTTAGGTGACGGTAGCAAGGCAAGACGCGCTGGTCGCGCTGTCCGTTCGCAAATCGGATCCCGTCAAGATCAACTAGTCTCCACTTTTCTACAGTAGCACATATAAACAAGATAGCAGTGTACCCTCTAGTTCCTTAAAAAATGATTCTCATGTAAAACGGCAAAGCCAGTGTTACCAGGCCTACTAGTAATCTTTGTAAAATTCGGAAGGTCGGAAAAAATTCGGGGAATCTTACTTGTCCCTCCTTCCTATTGGGTAATGTCATTACTTATGATAGTTGATATAGCTCTTTTCTATTCCCATTCATACAATATCGTCTGGGGTCGTATCGAAAAAAAACACATTAAAGAGAGGGCCGTATTGAGGGAACCTCCGCATAGAACCCATGAACAATCCCTCGCTGTTGCGTGCAATGCTTTTATGCGCGAGCAGCGTTCTAGTGCGAGACAGCTAACTTATTAGGTGATGAAGTAAACAAAATAAAAAAATACCTAATTTACTCACACGAAAATCATGGAAATGAGAACCGGAATGAGGAAAATTTCGCCACAAGCGATGATTCCGAGGCAGTTTGCCGTATGCTGTTGAGCTAACGAAGTCAAACGAGCAGTGACTGCTGAGCCTCCATATCCAATCGCCGTCAGTAATTTTACCTGAGGAAGAAAGACTTTCATCAATCTGCAGCAACGTTCAAGGTCTTGTTCGCTACGGATGATGGGGCGTGTCAGCGCGGCAGGGTTTGGCACGACGCCAATCACTTTATTCCTCTCGAGCGACAAACTGTATCATATCGTTCGTATCGTCAGTTTTTCACCAGTTGTGGTCACTTATCCGCTTAAACAACCGGTGGGGAACAGGAAGCGGCGCGCCGAACCTAGCCTCACTGACGAAGCCCCTTCCTTTCCCTCCTCGAACTTGACTGCACAAAAATGCATATATCAGGATATTGATCACACATAGTGAAACGTCGTACGACAAACTCACCAGCTGTGAAGCCGAATGCAAAGCAGCGAATAAGGAGACAGGTAGAAGAGCCATAGTCACTGGTGCAGATGTCAGAAAAAGAATTGCGTAGAATAAGTAGTGGCAGCTATCCTCAAGGAGAAGACGGGAGAAAAATTCACGAGTAAACGAAACAGTCCCAACTCTTTGCTGCATTCGCAAAGCATTTGTTGCAGCTGCTGAAATGGGTACACATGGAAACAAGCTCAATAATACCCGATTTTGGATGGCACTACAAAATTTACTCACCTGCAGCGAAAGCTTTGTAATAAGCAGAATCTGGAGCCACAGGTGATATAAACGGTAGCAGATAACATATCGTGAAAAATAATGTCATTAACCGCGTTGCCAAAAGACAGCAATCCATGAGATTTTCGGTAACATATTGCTGAAACAACTCATTTCACTCAAAACTTTATCATCCCCACCTTGTCACAATTTCCGAATTTCCCTTGGTTTAGCTCACAAAACAGTGAGCAATAACAAGTACCTTCCATCCAATTACCCTTTCTGACCATATCACCTTTCTTTTTCCAGCCTAGTGTAATGAAAGCGAGGAACTTAACAGTGAAATAGACGCTTCAAATTCTCACAACCAGCTTACTGAACTATTTAAATTCGGATATGAAGGTTAACCAAATACACAAAAAACTGCATCACCGGGATAAGCTGATGGTGAGCACTTGCTGAAGATTCGATCGTCCTCAAGAGGATCCTGATACTTTTTCTCCAGCCTGACACTTAAGATACAGGAAAGCAGTGTAACATCGGCCATTTCGAAAACGAAAGAACGGAACGAGAAGGTAATGGGTAGCAATTGAAACAGCTGGATTCTAAAATTAGAAACGAGGACATATGAACGTCTCCCAGACTGTTACTCTCTAACAATTCAAGTAGACCGCAAGGACGTGTTCATAATCTGCGACGCTAGGTTGTGGGACAATTGAAGAACGCATTGCTCCCCATCTATTCCTCCGAAACTCATCCCATTCCATCAGATCTGTAACTCTTCCTCCCACTCTCCATCAGATCTATAATTACATTTTCTTGTCACGTATTCTCGTATTTCGCAATTCTCTTATTCACCAGTGCCGTAAACGTATGAATAAATGAACGCTTTCTGGAAAAAGCGTACACTCACACAAATGCAGAGAAGGACCATGATCGCTAGATCATTTGGGAGCCAACTAAAAGTGGTCCCTGACATCCAAATCTTCGACCGCGCCCTGAGAAAGACAAATCTGTGTTGCAGGTTCATCACCAGGAATCTTTAAATGCGCACTGATTGTGCGCTACTAACGTATCTTTGCCTTTTACGAAGAAATGAATCCGCTAAACTTTATGGTCATGTTTAAATAATCGAAAAATCTGCTAAAGTGACTCAATACGCATTTGTCTGGGAGTTGGTCGAGAAATCCACGTTGCGGCGACTCGCATAAATTAACTGGTGTTTCACTAGCTTTGGTTAGCTAACCGTATAGTTGACTCAGCAGGTGACTCGTGGTAATTCCACGCTAAAGGCACAGTGCGCATTCATTTCATATTCAGGCGCCCTCTTTGAACATGGTGATCGTGCCTAGCTGATGTTACTGTTGTTCCGCTTCTATTATAATCCACTCATTCGAATAATGAGAGTGAGGTGATAATAAGGAGAAACGGCTGTAACCAATAAGTGAAAACCCGTCCGATCGCCCTCCCTTCGCCTTGTGCACGCACGAGCGCGGCCAACATGGGTTTCTATATAAGGCTTTTGGGCGAATTTTGGTGCTTTTCTCTTCTGTGTTATTTACCATCTTGTCATTACTACTTGAGCCAGATAAATCACCATTTTCGAACGCGGGACATAATCCCAAGGAAGGTCAATGTGTGAGTGCGGCCCATGTGACGTCACTTGTAACGCCGTACCAGCACAACGTGGATTCTTCGACCAACACATTTTAATAGCAGAATCCTCTCAATGTTTGAAAGCATCATCACGAGATAATCTCACCGAGATCGATATAGTGCCCTGCGATGGTCTGCTTGGTTGCGCTCTCGATGAGCTGGCCGATGAGGAGGGATTAAATGGCTCAGATGACTCCTCTCTTATCTCCACCATTTCTGCCTAAAAGAGCAAAATCATCATGATTATAATGTACGAGCTAAGGAACACATAGAGAGAGGCACAATGTGATTCGAAGAGGGTCAATACAGTGTAGTTCGCTGCGGACGGTTGGGCGTGTCAGGTGGATGAGTTTGGCGCGGTGCCAAACCCGTTCTCCACCAGTTGTTAAAGCGAGCAAGTGATATGACTGTATCATATCGTTCGTATTACTCGTTTTCTACCACTTTTTGTCGCATGCGCGCTTCAACAAGAAGGCAGAGAACGGCTTTGACGGGTGACACACTCATACTGCCTGACACGCCCAACCGTCCGCAGCGAACTAGAGTGTACCAAAAGATTACTATACGGGCAACAAATAAGAACAGGTCTCTTGACCACATATGATAATGAGATAGCTGAGCAGCTTGGTGGATATGACGAGACAAAGACCAGAAATTTCATAATGCAACTCGAAGCAGTTCGACTTGTGGTGGTGGAGAAGGATTTTGCACTTCCGTTACATCCCTTCAACAGGTATAGCCATCAGTTAGGGACCTGCGAAGTCCTGTGGAGCCACGAAACGATACCAGCCAGTGTTTGCAGAGACTACCTGTCATCCGTATATCTACGGGGAGCGGCGAGAGTGCAAGATACCCCTTCCCCCTCCCCCCCCCTTCTGCGCCCAAAACTCTTTTGAAGGTTATCTACCGCTTTCAGCTGGAACTAGCTAAACGTCGTTTACGCGTCACACAGTGCATCAGGGCTCAAGGGCACGATATAAGGGTTTTTAATTTTATGATGACGCACGGTAAGAAACGTTCAACAACGGCCGGCTAAAAAGGATGAATACGGCCTTGAAAAATCCAATGTGCCCGCCTTAAACCATTTTTCATTAGTTAGTTCACAAGTTTCTTCCGCTGCATTGGTATTCTGCAAGAAGCACTTGTTCCTGTTACGTGAAGATAAAACGTGTTCCACTGTGGGTGTCGGAGATGAAAGCACAATTCTGCTAAAGTACCAATAACCTCCACCGATAAAACCAAACAAAATCTTATAATACAACAAAAATGAAAATGAGAACAATAGACAGAGGCCGACTGCTGAAGGTTTCGGGGGTTAAACTCGTGGAGAGGCAAAGTACTGCAAGCATTCCTTACAGAACAACCACAGGCGATGAAAGTCATGTCTGTGCGTGCACCATGGAAACCGTTTCGATGAGTGTGAGCAGGCCGACCTCCCACAACGGCTCGAACTCGTCGATGGTGACAAGAGCAGAGTACGGTAGACTATGGAGCGCGTTTACTACAACTGTCCAAAGTCACGAGTTAGTGAACCTTTTTTAAATCCCCGCTCACCATGAACTTCTTTATACTTCCAATGAATTAGTTGCTATTTGATTAACCTCGAGAATACCGTCTAGTGCTGTCACTGTTAGCTGCTTTAGTCTGCTCAGTTTTGGAATGCGCCATATTTTTCTGGCAATGAGGTGATTTCCCCAAATACAGAAGCACCTTTCCGCAAAACTTACCGGCTATTTCTGCTGTGCCGAACGAGAAAGCTTTTTTTGGAGCTCTTTCAGTTATCGGGGAATTCCGGTGCGGAGCATCCAAGTCAATCGTGCGATTCAGGCGAGCGATCCGGACGAGCGATCTGATCGCACAGTTGCGAAGTATGAACGCGCTCTAAACCAAGTCAGTACGTCTCGGGATACTTGTCGACCGCGAAGCCTCTCTCCTCCTTCCCTTTTCCTTCCTCCTACTCTCTTTTCCTTCCTTCCTTCCTTCTCTCTCCCTTTCCTTTACCATTTTCCTTCAAGTGTGGGCGAGTAGATGCGATGAGAAAATCCCTCTGACCTTGCTGCGACAGCATGTCGGTTGACAATAGCCGGTAAACTCCGTAACTCTTGTTTGTAATTTTTGAACGGGTCGTTCAACTGCATCAAACGTTTAACCGTGGGTTGTTCATGGGTCGACAGAAATGTGCTAGTTTTGCACAGCGTACCCAAAGTGTTAGCCTCCTCCACCTCCCTTCCTATCAGTCCGGAATTCCCCTTATGGCGCTAATTCAGTTGAGCCGGTCAGGAAACGGCACGTTGACATATCTTCCACCCTTTGCCCAAGGCATAGACTTGGAAGACCCAGACGATGGGAGCCGCAGGCGGCATACCACCTAGAGTACAGTCCTCATCATTGCGGACTGTCGGGGCGGCTGAGCCGCGCTGCACTGTGACGCGACAGCGGCTGCGGCTCGGTGACGGCGAATCAGCTGATTTCCATGGAATTCGGCTGCGAATTCCCACTTTTTCAGCTCTTCAAGCTTCGAAAGTGGAAGGTGAGTATTTTGACAATTTTAAATTGTACTGGCTCTGAATGAATCTGAAAGAATGCAAGCCATTTGAATAAATGCCTGAAATAAGGCAAAATACAAGGAAAAGAGCATAATAATCGACATAAAAATAAAGGAAATCAGAGCCAGTACAATTTAAAATTGTTCAAAATAACTCACCTTCCACTTTCGAAGCTTGAAGAGCTGAAAAAGTGGGAATTCGCAGCCGAATTCCATCGAAATCAGCTGATTCGCCGTCACCGAGCCGCAGCCGCTGTCGCGTCACAGTGCAGCGCGGCTCAGCCGCCCCGACAGTCCGCAATGATGAGGACTGTAGACGTAGTAGCGCAGCCGCGTGGCTCCGCTCACCTGCGTTAGGCAGCGTTCAGACTTCGCGACGGCAGCGCTTCGGTCGCGCGCTCGACGCGATCGATGCAGTTGAAAGCATGCGCATCGCGTCAAACGCGCGACCGAAGCGCTGCCTCGCGAAGTCTGAACGCTACCTTAACCCCTCTCTACTTTAGACCACGCGTTCTTAGAATGTTAATCTTTTTTAGAGCCATATTCTATTCTCACACTATTCGATATAGATATGAACGAAAGTACGTTTCAGGGATGCCCGATGGACGAACTGTTGGTGGTAATTCATGACCGGGCAGACCATTCAAAACGATCGCTTTCCATACCGTTTTCTCTGAATGACACAGTCCAAAGTATTGAAGAAAAGATTAGTACAAAAACTGGAATACCACCAGATTTGCTCAAGGCAAGTGAATATTGCTTGAATGTGTTCTAAGAAAAACTAGAAAATGAATGTCCTACGAACTTTTGTTCCCATATGTCATGGAAATGGGGATGCTTTTTAGTGGGGAGGTTTCAAAGAGTTCCAACAAATGGGAGTTAAAATGGATAACACGTTGCTCGAACGCACTCTAGCGTACAATCCGCATGCCCTGGGTTGGGTATGAGTTCATGCTCAATTCAGTGATTTTTTTTCCACCCTCAACAGTTTGGCACCTGGTATACTCGAAATCCCTGAGATCGGGTAGGCGTGGCCGCATTTTCAACTTAACCTGAAGGTGTCTGTGCTTCTGGTGAGATATTTTCATCTTGACACAATTGTTGTCCTGTCTCTGGTCACGAGCAATGAGTTCCGTGCCATGTTCAAATGCCACGCCTACCCTGGCTCATGGATAAAGAGAGTACTTCGAGCCTCGTTTATGAAATAATTTGTCGTTTGAGATAAATCTTCTTCCATAACCATAGCCTATTTAAGGTCGTGCTATGTGGACGTGCATTAGAGCGGACGACATTTTTGAGGGATCTTCTGTTAGGACCAACGACGTAATTGATTACTTTATTACATTAACCAGTTACTTGGTGTACCTTTCTTCTTTATGCACACATGACATCTCTGACACGCTGTAGGCGTGACTGTGTGCCTCATTTAAACATGGGATAAGTAGGGTAACTCGAAGGATGCGGAGCGATTTGACGAACACCTTGCTTTTCAACAGCTGTATGATGCGCGCGTCAGCGTGCGCAGCAAAACTGTTTTATATGAGTGATCCAAGCTTGTAACGATGATTTTTTCCCTTAGACTGAGGCAAGTCGACTAGTCGCGCAGGGGGAGGGGAAATGTTCAGGAGACTCTTTGTGCTAAACTAGGATCACCGTGATGCGGAACATTTTTTGCCCATAGTAGTATGCCCGCTACAGAATTCTTCTATCGTAGGCTTGGGCGAGATTCCTCACCTCACGAGTGTTCCCAGATGCAGAAGTTCTTCGAACGGCCGCGTGTGCGTTTGGAGCTATTTACTGTTTAATCCAACTGGGATGTGTTAGTATTCGTATCCTTCGTCTTTACAGTCCTGGACAGCATTTCAGGTCTCTCATTGTCTTCGTTGAAAATCGCCAGTCTTCAACATTGTCCACGAACGCCTCTGCTGGGGACACTCCATTGGTTCGTAATACACCGGAGATTGGGTCGTTCTATGTATGGTGCAAAAAATGCAATGACGTCCAGCGGGCTAAACTTCGGGTCTACTGCAGCGAATGCTCTTCGTCTGCTTTGTTGGTGAAGAGAGAGCCGTCGTGTTGGAAAGATGTCTTGAGGAGGTAATAAATTTTCTTCTTTCAAGCCTACTGTATCTGAAAACCGTATGGTTTCAGCCGCCAGATCGAGGTTCACTGTGCCGACTGTAACGCCAACTCTTACGCTGCATTCTCTTTCAAGTGCATCAAATGTAATGAGGTATACTTCCCATTGCGTTAGGTTTCTAACTTATTTCCAACTGTCTTGGCTCGTTTTCTTTTACTAAGGCAACCCTTTTCAGGTAGGAGCGGTCCTTTCTCACATACGTGGTAATTGGGAGCATGCTGAGTGTAGTGTCTGCTTAGATGAGCACACCACATACCTTTTTGATTTTGGTTGCCGTCATTTGGTCTGCCGTCAGTGCTTATATGAATGCTTAGCCTTCGCGCTGAAGGAAGGTCGCTTCGTTTTTCGCCCACTCTTCGGCTATACAATCGCCTGCCCATATCCAGGCTGTGAAAGTAAGTACAATTCCAAGTTTTTCTTCTTTTCAGTTGGGACTGAGGCCACGCTTTCGAGTAGACTTCGGTTTTCCTTTTCGGAGAAAATATATCTATTATCCATGCGAGAGTAATGGCTACAAGGAGCAGGATTTACGGCATACCTCAAATCTCTCTCTGCTTTCTCAGGGTGTATCGCTGATGCGCACCATTTTCGAATATTGGGTAACGAGAAGTACCAGCAGTATCAAAAAATTGCTGCTGAGAAACTTGTTGAGCTGGACGATCGAGGTATGCTTATCTGTTTATCGCAATCGCTCTAGGTGGAAATTCGTTATTCAGGGGTATTTTGTCCTTATCCTGATTGTAATTCATCGTTTTTTTGGGAGATTGAAAACGATGACGGGAAAACGTCGTGTCCAGATTGCCTTCGTCTTTTCTGCAGGTAATATTAGGGATATACATTTCTTATTCTTTGGGAGTTTTTAGTGTTAATCTCATTACAAATTGTTTGTAATCTATACTTGTCTATCTAACACAGGCTTTGCAAATCTGCTGATTGTGTCTGCGGTGGAGACGATCCGACAACAATCACCATACAAGCCACGACCAAGTGAGTGGTTGTCTATTTTAGATGTTGATGCTGTGGCTACCTATTGTATGATTCGGAGTAGTTGTGCTAGCAATGTACATGTATTTGAGCCTTCTATTTCACAGTCCGTTATGGAAATTATCTAGATCCCGCTCTCCTCTGAATGATCATCGTGCGCCATCCACGGCTAGGATACGCAATGGTTCCGAATTAAGATTGCCTGTACAATACGACCCCCTCCACATGGAGTCCTTTTTCATGGACTTCCTTACCTATAGACCCTCCAGCTTTATCTCCAGCACTCCAGAATGTTATCATTAAACACAGCGATACAATATGACCAAGTTTTGATCTTCAAAAAGGAACTTCGCTCTTGACATACCGAGAATTTCACATTCTAATAACTTCGCCAAGGGGAAGCTTCGATCTTGGCGATAACTCAGAAAGAATTAGCCAGTGGCATATGCGGCGGATTGCCTAGTACTCAGAGGAGATGTCAGGAGTCGGGGAAGCGTTATAGGTCATCTGCAAGTTTACTCTTAGATATGGAGAAACGATGACCTACACAAAACAGAATACTCTAGGGCAACCTAACACCATACATTGCGACTCAAAAGAATAAGTGAGGCGACGATTCATCGTTTTAGGAGAATGCGCGGAGTAGATATAAACTGACAGACTCCGTTCGCTGGCTACTTCGAAGAATTAGAATTCAGTGAAATGGGCGACACGGGAGAACACGCGCTACCGACCAGGATCGATCGATCCTCATCTACTTCGGCGCACATTCTCCAAAATGTTTGATTGCAGATTGTCCTATTCCTTTCAGTCATAAAGTACAAATGCGGTTTGAAAGCGCGTTCTAGACTGCGCTATCCATCGCGCGAGTTATACGATCAGATCGCGAAGTATGAACGCTTTCTAAGTGAAGCATGCAAGACCAAAACTTCATATTGGTGTTGACTGAGCCTTTGGAACAGTTTTCTTCTTGCTCTTGTCTGCGACGTAAAGCTACTGTCACAGCATTATTTGAGAAAATGTCCCGGCTGTAAGGTGAACACCGAGCGGAACGAAGGTTGCACTCATATCCATTGCACCAACTGTGGCATGGACTGGTGTTTCATATGTGTCGGACCGTGGACCGAAGATTGTCAATGGAATCATTGGTTTGATTGAGTTTGTTGAATTCGAGCATTCCCGCTTGTTTCTGATAGTCCGTTTGTCAAATAGGATGTATTAGACACATTGGTAAGACCATTTCCTCTTAGAAACAGTATTATATCGGGTATGATCACATCGCAGGGCCACCCATTCAGTTCACATGGATGTGTAGCGATTGTTGTAGTCTGAATGTTTACTCTCCGGCACTCCATATTGTGATTGTAAAGAAATTGATTCGCTCAGCATCTACGAGTTCTTCCTGTTAGGTATTTACTTAGAAATTAGTGAATAGTGATAAAATCATCGTAGAAAGTTCATTTGTATGCAAACAACGCATACCCATGTCCAACAAATGACTTCAGATTTTGAACAGAAAACAACAACAGTCAACAATGTGAAAGGAAACAAATTAAAATGAAAACGGTGGCAAAAATAATATGGGATCCTTTCTTTTGATTGCTTAGTACATCCTCAATTAAGCGCCACGTTAAGCGTCAAATGTACGATAGAATCTCGAAAATTACAGAGAATCCGACCCCGCAGGCCTATATTCCCGTCACGAAGTCACAGACTAACTAACATTGTAGTGCGACATACTCAATGGGAGATTCAAACAAAGTTCTGCATGACCCAGCGTATTTCCTAAGAGCAAAACACAAGAAATTCACAAGCTGGTCAAGATAATTACAACCAGTACACGATAGCTCGCCACCAACAGAAACTATGAAGCGAGCGCTGCAATACCTGCTTAGCTGGTTGCTGACTCTTCAATTTTCGCTCGTTTGGCCTTGATTTTGATAGCTTCAGACTTGTCCTTCTTCATCTTTTGACGAATGCTATGGTATACTCGCTTGTGCTTCTTCGGCATCATAATTTCACGCATTTTCACTCCAGCGTGCTGAAAG